AACCTGCTTCCATTGAAGATATAAAGGGGGTTCATATTATAAGGTAAGGTTATAAAACCACCTTTTAAGATCATTTTAGTGAAAGTTTCATGTTCCTATCTCATAGAATTTAAGAACAATGATGAATAAATAATTTTCGAGCAAAATTTAAATGGCCGGCTGAATATATTACCGCAGGAGCCGCGGCCGCGAAATTTAAATGACCACGTCAAAGGGTTAAAGAGCAAGGCCATTAGCCTTGTGCAAAACCCCCAACCAGAAGGACCAGGTCCCTTTATTTATGTCTCACAGTGACAGGGTTTATACCTTCAGGCACCGGGTTCCATTTTTATCACCTTTTATGACTCACAGGGCTACGGTGGAGGTATTCTAACCCACCTCCACATAGGGATGGTTTCTGAGTTTTGATTAATTTGTATTGTCACAGGGGCAGAGTGGTATGTCATCTCCACGAGCACCATCTCCATCACTCTCAGATCTGGAGACAAGAAAGCAACTTTTGCTAGCAGAACTGGAGGATGGTGAAAGTTCCAGAGACACACTGCAAAAGGCAGCTGCTTCTGGTACTCCAAGGCCCAGCATTTCCTCTCTGGGTAGAGTGAAGTTTGTGGATCTAGGAACCCCTGTCCTACAGGGTTCTTCTCCATACTCTTGCTTACCAAACCCTGAAAAATTTTCACATGACATCTGTGATGTTATAAATTTCGAGAATTTACCTGACTCCACTGGTAAATATGAGAAAATGAGTGACATTATTCGTAAAGTTAGGACTGTAGTGACGCGGATACAACAGGAAGATGATGATGATGACAATTGTGAAGGCAGAAGGAAATGACCCCAACCTGAAAAGATGTTAGTAAGTGGTCAGATAATGGGACAGACATATGTACAGTCTTGGCTTAATAATACCTTCATGTAAATGATTGTGATAATGGGGGATGGATAATAAATAAATATAGTGTATTGAGTGATTAAAAATGTAATATGTATGGATCTGTATTTTGGTCATTTTTTTCTGTGTGATGATCCGGTTTTAATATTTTTTTATATAATGACAAGGTTTTTTTTGTCAGTTTTTGTATTGTTTATATAATGACAGGCATAGATAGTTTTGTGTTATAAGCAAAAATGTGGCAAAAACTTCTACTCTTCCCTCCAAACTGGTATTCGCTCTGCAAAAATAGTGTTTACATACTGTAACTTATATTATTTGTATTGTACTGTTTGTGTATATGTTACTTTGTATGCTAGTCTGAATTACCATATTCCATTTTGTCATGTAAATCCTACATGAAACATTCTTTTTGTATTTTTAACACTGGGACAGTGTGAAACTTCAAGGTTATATATATTATATCTGCCAAATGTGGCATAATGGGTATATGTATTAGTTGAAATTATGAATAGAATGGATCAGTAATTATTAATTTACAGTTCTTGCTAGCTACATTATGAGGAGTGAAATATTTGAACAGTAGGTATCATACATTCTTGCCAGAATATGTTTCTTTAGTGTAGATTAGTTTTGAAAATATGAGTGCTGTTTTCCTGTTTACTGCTTCTGGATTAAAGAAGTATGTTAGTATTTCAGATATATTGTATGAACATTCGTAATATTTTCAAAGAAGTGACAGTTTTCTTACTGATAATATACATGGATTTTTGGATTTGAAAATGTTGACTCAGAAAGAGATTGCTATGGATGTGAAAAAAAAATCACTGAGAATATAATGTGTCAGTTTCATTTCAAGATAGGTTTGGGGTAGAAAAATAGCTATTGAAACGACAGTGAAAAGCACAGCTTTTACTTTTGCTCCATGTTGGATGGTCATATAACCTAAATATGAGTTGAATTATCATGTTATTTGTAACAGACTGTTATGGAATTTTGTACAGTGTGTCCACAAAGTCCTGTTGGGGTTTTGAAAAATTGTGGCACACAAACAAATTGAGCTAGCCACATGCGGTTTGCAGCAGATCATAGTAAAACTGTGGACGTTTTTTACTGACCACAGTAGACCTCAATGTGGGCTCCCTTGGTAGCACAGAGAATGTCCAGATGATATTCGAGCTGTTGCCATGTTCTGAGGAGCATGTCCACTGGAATATCCGAGATCGCATTCCTGACATAGGACTTCAGGTCATCAAGTCTGTTAAGTTGTGTTCGGAACACACTGCTCTTGACATAACCCCACAGGAAAAAATCCAGTGGTGTTATGTCTGGTGAACGTGGAGGCCAAGGCATTGAACTGTCTCTGCTGATCCATCTTCCTGTAAATGTCCTGTTTAGGAACACAGATTTTTTCCTGTGGGGTTGTCAAGAGCAGTGTGTTCTGAACACCAGTTAACGGACTTGATGACCTGAAGTCCTGTGTCAGGAATGCGATCTCGGATATTCCAGTGGACATGCTCCACAGAACATGGCAACAGCTCGAATATTGTCTGGACGTTCTCCGTGCTACCAAAGGAGCACACATCGAGGTCTATTGAGGTTAGTAAGAAACTTCCAGAGTTTCACTATGATCTGCTGCAAACTGCATATGGCTAGCTTAATTTATTTGTGCACTACAATTTTTCAAAACCCTGATGGGACTTTGTGGACACACTGTATTTTACATAAATATAGCATCTTGCTATGTATGTGTTTTGCATGGGATAAATTTTTGTAATTGGTAGAAGCATGCATTTTCATGGGAAGAATTGTTCTAGCATTTTCTTCTGTAAACACTATATTTACATTTCCAAATGCCTGCTGGTGCTGTAAATACTACTGTTACCACCACTGCCACAATGTCTGTGCAAGATTTAATGTGTTAATTAGATGTCATAGTTAGAGTTTGATACTTCCACCCCAAACAAATTCTGATATCTTTTAAAACAAGTTAGAGCCCCAGTCAGATTGTATCTCAGTCAGTAGTCCTTTATACTCTGTTTTTTACTGTCGCCACATAATGTGTTGCAGTGTGTAATCATTGTTAATTGAAATTGTGTTGATGCCTAATAACAGATTGATAGTTCAGGTAATGAGGGACTAGTTTCTAATTTCAAATCTCAGAGATCACAGAAGTCTCTTCGTGGTGTTATTGAAGGAACAGAGTGTTGTTATAATATTAGAAAATTGGCTGATAATGCTTCTGTAATTTAAGACACCAAATTACAGTTGAAATCGGTTATAAGAATGTACATGGAGAATTTTTGATGTTACGTCAAGACCTCGTGGATCAAAACGTTAATAATGCATAGTCTGCTGTATCATTCATAGTTAAGAACAGTGTTTGGTTATATTGGCAAATTTATGATCTGTCTGAAGTTAGTTATTTGCAATTGCACACTCCCCATTAATTCTTGGTATGTGTGATGTACTATGATTACAGCTGCCTAGTTGGTTGATCTGAGACTATCTTGGGTGCCTCACAGATTGGATAGCATCTTAATACTAATTGTGATGATTGCCAGAAATATAAAATGTCACAACACATTCTTCTCAAGAATTCCCTGATCATGTAAAATGCTTTGCCCTATAGCAGAAAATCGTTTCATTTTGTTTAAAAAATGTGATGACATATGATCTGTCCTGAAATGGTTTATGTTGACAAAAATTACTTTGGATTGTATAAGTTGATGATATTGAATGTTACATGTGAATGTACAGTTTGTATTTTTGGAATTTGCAACATGGAGCAGCACAGATAAATTTGCTTCTGGCCGGAGACTACCAGTAACCAACTCATAAAGCGTACATGGGTTTTTTATAAATACGTAGGTATTATTTTTTTTATTGCTAGTGGTGTGGCCCCTCGTTGGTGGCTCCACCTTATCGTGGTGAAGGGGTTTGAGTATGCCAAGGACCCTGAGAGCTATACCAGCGGTAGCGTAGCTACTGGTAGGGCCTCTTTTGCTGGACAGGTCAAAGGGTAGG